CTGACTTATGGTGCCCACAAGATGTTGTGCCCAGCAATCTGCGGGGATCAGGCTCCACATAGCTCCTTGAACCGCTTAGTTTCTCTCTGCCTGAAAGCTGTCATGAAGTTGGGCCCTCACACAGGGGGTTCGGGACTGCCAGCAAGAGGAGATCTCTGCTGGCTCAGCTTGGGTTGGGGACCCAGAACCATGTGGGGCGCAGCACCCCCTGCCTGGGATGGTGTTCCTTCCCAGATCCCTGGGGTTGGAAGAGGACCTGGGAAAGCAGAGAGGCTCTAGGGGCTGGATGGGGCTTTCCAGCCTGGTGGCCCATCCTTGGATGACCTCTTCCCAGAGCCACCATGGGTTCTAAGGTACAGAGACCTGTCCCCTTCGATTATGAGGCCTCATGTTGGCTGGTCTCACTTGGTTGTGGCTGCTCTTGGTGGCTGTCTGCCCATGCCACAGGGTCTCCTTGATCATTGCTTCCTTGGGCTGGTCCCTGGGCTGTGGGGTGGGTGAGGATGGTGCCAGGCTGGGTCCTGTACATCTGCCTTGTGCCCAGCCCTGCTGCTGTGGTTGGGAGGTGACGTGGCATGTGGTGGTGTCGTGAGCCAGGAGGGTTGTGCTCAGACCCTGTCTTGGAGATCAGCTTGAGGGTCAGTGGCAGCGGATATAGAGATATCTATATCTGGTCGCATCAGTGCACTTGGACTCCCAGCCAGGGTTGGCAGCTCCAGCCCTGCTGGGGACTGTTATTTCTGTTCTATGAGTAACCTCCTGAGTCTGCAGGGAGGTGGCACCTCTCTGGCTGGCAGGGTGTGCAGGGACATCCTGCTCCGAGGGAAGATCTGAGCTCTGGTTTGGCTGCCTCTCTGCTCCCTTGTATGGGACTTCCTGCTTCCAAAGGTAGTCTGCGCAGCCTCACTCTGCCTTGGGATGGTTGGAAGGACCATACACCCTGGTGGATTCTATTGTGGGGAGTTCAACCTTTCTAGGAGTCTTCATGGGGTGCTTGGGGCAGGAGAAAAGTTACTGGAGTTGGTGGTGACACTAGCTCAGGCCAGGGGGACGAGGGAGAATGGGTAGTGTGCTGTTTAGGGCTAAGCAAAGAGGTAGCTTTTTTCCATAAGGGCGTGAGGCACCCAATGACCTTCTGTTCTTGGTGATGACCAGCCTTTAACACTGTTCTTCTCCTCCAGATGCCAGCCAGGATATCACGGAGAGAGATGCCATGGCCTCTCGCTGCCTGTGGAGCACCCCCCCAGTGCATACGACCACACCACAGCACTGGCCGTTGTTGCTGTTGTCCTCTCCTCCCTCTGTCTTGTCATCATCGCAGCCCTGCTGATGCTCAGGTAAGTGGGATGGGGCTGAGCTGTTGGATCTGCATCCCTGGGAAGACCACGTGGAGGGGGAGGGTGGCAGGGACACCTCCATGACCTGAGTATCTCTGCTTGGCCTCATAGGTGTCACAAGAGGGGTGTCTACGATGTAGAGAGCGAAGAGAAAATCAAGCTGGGCATCACTGTGAATCACTGAGGATGCCGGGTGCTGGCGAGGTGAGCCCCTGGCTGGATATGAGGCAGTGGTGTGGCTGGGAATCTGCTTGTCCATGCTGGCTGGGGCCACTGTGTGGATCCTGTGCCAGAGCCAGGCAAGAGTTGAAGGCAGTATAAGCCTGGAGAAGCAGCTCACTGGATTTGGCCTGAGAGTCTGGGGTGCAGTGTGGGGCTCTAGCCCTTCTTCCTCTTCTGCTCAAGCCCTTGTCCCCTGACAGCCCTGCCACCATCACCTCCTTTCAAACATTAAGTCCCTGCTTTGCCCTGTTTCTGCATGCTTTGGGGACATTTGGCAGTGGGGAAGATGCTTCTGGGTTTTTTTTTTTCCCACCCTGTTCTGCTCCCTCTCTGACCCTCTGAGTCACTTCCGCTCTTTAGATATTGCCTCTATTTTTATATATAGAAAAAACCCTTCCTTTTCACTCCTACTCCTACTCTGCTTATTACTTGCACCAATGCAATGCCTTGCAGCTGGGTATGGGGATCTTGCTGCCAGCCCCATGTGACATTGCTCTGGCTGGGTGGTGGCCCCATGGCCGGGTGCTGGACAGCTTACAGACTTCCTCTGCTCTGGTCCAAGCCTGACGTTAGATGTGCCCATACAGATCACAGCTACTTCTCTTTTCTTAAACAAAAAGGAAAAACTTTGTTCTTTGTAGGGATGAGGTAATGCCTTCAAAGAATTTCTGTCATGATGGTAACAATGCTGGGGGTGGGAATTTTTAGGTGTTTATCAGAGCTATTTTGAGGAAGGGGATTCAGCACAAGGCTTTTCATGTGTCCCCTCTGCCCTGGGGATTATTGAGGTGAATGTGCCCAGGGGGCAAAGTGCTGTGGTCCCTTGGAAGGGCAGTGTGGTGAGATGCTTACCCACTGTTCCCCTGGCAATCTGGCTCCCATCCTCCTCAGCCCAGCACTGCAAGGCAGCGAGTGGCTTCTGCTGCGGTTGCTGTGGGTGCATGGGCTCTCCTGAAGTGCGATGAACACCTTCCCACCACACAGGAACTGCCCTGGGCGGTGTTGTGAGCTGCTCTGCTTTGTCTTGCAGGGGTCGGCACTAATGCACTTCTACCTCCTGGAAGAGGCGAGAGCCACAGAGCCAGCGCTATCCCTGGGTGCTGGCTGGAGCAGCAGGGCAGCATCTGCTCTGGGGCTGCTCCAGCAGCGGTGTCACTGCAGGGAGCTCCGTGGCCTCCTGTGGGGATGGAGCTCGGAGAGGTGCTCGCTGGCTGCATGGAGCAGGAGGGACGGGCCGGCGGCAGCTCTCCATGTGCTGTGGTGCACACCAAGAACAAGCTGTGAAAGGAGGAGAGCGGGCTCGGGGCTTGCTGCGGCGCAGGAGGGGCGGGAGGGTAACAGCTATTTAACAAGAGATTTTTCATTTTAAATTATATATTTATTTTAGATAAACTGTACATAGTATTTATATTTATTGTAGGTCTGGCCCCTGCATCTTTCATGTAGGTCAAGGTGACCGGGTCAGACCTCCCTTATTTTTTAAGTGCAATGTTAATATTCTAATAAATAACACTTTGTTACAAACACTTGTGTTGTTCATTTAACAATGGAGTTGGAAAGAAATTGGAACTCTGAAGACCAGTGGGGATCTGCAAACAGTGCAGATCCTGAGTGCATGGCAGGAGGTGCTGGGCTGGCTCGTGGCATGCTGGGGTGTAGCAGAGCAGTGTGGTACCAAGGCGCTGGTGGCAGTGGCTGTCCTGCAGCCACAGCACTCCCATCTGTGTTTCTTTTGCATCTTTGACGGCTGATGCCCTGTGAGGGATGTGATTTCTTGGTGTCTGCTCACCAGCAGGTGTAAGTGAAGCCTTTCTGGCCACCAGTTCATCCAAATGGGACCGATTCCTAGTTTTGAGCGGTTCCTGGGTAATTGCAGCCTCTGGGGCTGGGGTCTTTCGAGCAAGCATCATTTCAGATGGTGGTTCAGGACTGACTCCTGACTTTGCGGTAAAAATAACCCCTGAAACCACTTCTTTCCTCTTCCCTCATCTTCCCCGGGGGACCTGAGATCAGGGTAAGATGCTGTCTCTTGAAGCAGAGAGAGGACTTCCCCCTGCAGGAAACCTGCTTTCATCCAGCCCCTTTCCCTTCAGCAGATGTCAAACTTCAGTTTTCAAAGGGAAGTGCTAAGCTACTGCTTTCCATTCCTGCTCCTACAGTGTGCACTAAAGCTGGGGAGTAGCTTGCAGAGCTTTTTGGCCTGACTTAGCCAAAATTCAGCTCTGGTAAAGCCTGAAATAAGCTTTATGCCCACTGGAGGAGGGGTTGCTTGGGAAGCGAGCGCATAGGTTCATCCCTCTTGTGCAGTCAGTAAGATTTGCAGCAGCAAAGCCCAGGGCATGGGAATGCAGCAATACTTTGGCATTCTAGTGCTTCACAAGATAGAAGGGCTAAAGTACATGGCTTAGGCAGGTTGGGAAGCAGGTGACTGACAGTGGGCACCCTTTTGTGTTATCACCTGGAGAGTAAAAGCTGCTGCAGTGGCTTGAGTCTTGGAACCAGGGAATCAATTTATTGGCTCTGAACCTTCATCCTGAGGGAGGGCCAGTTTAATCAGAGACTCCAAACTTTGGCTTTTTTCAACGTATTAAGCAAATAATGCCATGCTATGTACGAGGCCATTCTGCTCCAGGGCATCTGGCTGTGTTCCTCCCTTGCTGCGCTGCTGCTGCTGCTTCCGTTCCTGGAGCCACTCCTGCTCCAGCCCTGCTGCCTTCCAGCTGTTCATGGTGGGCAGCTCTGCATGCCTGAGGCTCCACACCACCCCAGCAGGCACAGGGAGAGCTCTGCTCTGCAGGCAGCTGCCCTTTGCCCTACAAGGACGTGTTCTGACCCACTTTGCTCCTCTATGGGCTGGGCTACCCACAGGTAATTTAACAAGCCAAGAGATGGGAAACGTGTTTTGGAGATACAGGCACTGGGGAGCTGGCTGGATCCATGGGCTGGCTCCCTCCGCCCCACTAGACTGGGAAAGGTTGACAGTCCTATGGATGCTCTCTTCCCGAGAACATCTCTTCTCTGTTCACCCCGACTGGGGTGTGCAGAGCTCTGCCCTGCCCAGCGCCCATGCACCGCAGGGCAGCCCAGGCTGCTCGCTTCACCATGCGCGCAGGAACAGGGTGCCAGGAACGTGGCCTGCACCACCCCGCTGCCGCAGCGCTGGGCCAAGCTGAGCGCGGGAGGGGCTCCCGGAGAAGGCAGGGGGAGCCTCCAGCAGCCCGGCCCTTCTCCCCCCTCCGGGCACGCACTCGGGACCGTGACCACGTCACCAACTGCTGCACCCCCCAACTCCACGGTCCAGCCCCGCTGCTGCCTCGGACACCGACCCCACGCTGCGACCTCCAGCACCCCCCTGAGCTCCCCCCGCTGCCGGCACCGGCACCGGCACCCGCCCCGGAGCAGCCCCGGAGCCCGGGCACGCGACCCTGCGCTGCGACCCTGCGCTCCGCCCCGCGCATGCGCAGCAGGACGCGCTGCCGGGACTCCCAACCGCGCAGGCGCCGTACGCAGACAAGATGGCAGCGCCCGTGGACCTGGAGCTCAAGAAGGTAGGAGCCCCACCGCGGTGGCTGGCGGCTCCGCGCCGCGTTCCGTGCAGTGCCTCTCCGGGCTCCTTCTCCCCTGCACACCCCGCGCGTTCGGCACCCGCCGCCCGGGTTTATCTGTTCGTGGCCGGCGGGCCGCGGCCTGCGAGAGCCGCCCCTGATGGCCGCTGCTCTTTCCCCCTGCCCAGGCTTTCACGGAGCTGCAGGCGAAGGTGATAGACACGCAGCAGAAGGTGAAGCTGGCCGACATCCAGATCGAGCAGCTCACCAAGACGAAGAAGCACGCACACCTCACCGACACCGAGGTCATGATGCTGGTGGACGAGACCCGCATGTACGAGGGCGTGGGGCGGATGTGAGTACCTGTGGCTGCGGCTCCCTCCTGTGCCAGGAGCGGCTGCTCGGGAGGACCCGGTTCTGCGGCGGAGCGGGGTGGTGGTTACAGCCCTGTGCACAGGGACAGCCCAGTCTCTGCGTGTAAGAGGCCCCTAGGCTGCTGCTTGGGCAGCTCTTCCCTCTATGAAGAACACACCAGGTTTTCCTTAGTGTGTTCATTTATTTCATTTCCCCCTATCTTTCAATTATAGCAATCTGCTTGGGAATGCAGTGAGACTGACTGGGGTTTAGCTCTTGGAGTTAGCTACTGACTGCCTCGAAGGAGGACTGTTATAAATATTATTGGCTTTGTGTGGGTTTGTTCCTGGCCACGATGGTCTTGTCTGGCACCTCTGGGAAGTCTGTAACCTACACCAGCAGATGAGCATTCTAACGAAAGCCAACACTGGTGAGAAGACTTTCAGAGATCTGTCCAGCTTCAGTCATTTCCAGTGTAGTTTATGTGAGATTCCTTGAAAAAAGCTTGTGCACAGTTCACGTGCTCAGGACTTTGCTTCCAGAAATGTTCTACAGAAATTCCCTTTGCAGTATCATCCGGAGAATGAATCTAATGCATGTTGCCTGGGTTTTTTATACTCTTGGAAGAGAGCACAAAGCTCTTATGGGTAGTCCTTAAAGATGTGCTTTGATGTGTTGGATGACTGTTAAGAGAAATACCTTTGACCAGAAGTAACGTGTTTTGGTCAATTTCTACAATATACTTATGTTTGACAATGTCAGCCTCTGATAGAAGACCCTACAAAGTGGTTTCAAATTTGAAACATGGGCTTACTTGGTAAATATCACACTAGATTTTTAATTGGAGATTACTGTGGTTATTCTCTTGAGTTTCTTGTGAGTTGGGTAACAGTGATGACTCTGCTCAGCTCAAGATGTGGTTTTGCAAGACTAAATCTTCCCTGTATCCTGCCAGAAAGGGTGATGGTATCGACCTCTTCCCCGCCTTCTGTTTACTTCACCTTCTTGTGCCAAAGTGGGTGATCACAGGGCCAAGCAGTGAGCCAGGTCAGACCACAAGTGCCCTGATCCATCAGATCATGCAATCTTCAGATGGAGCTGTAGGGAGGTGGCAGGACTGGGCAGCCAGACTAGTCTGTAGCTTGTCCTTAGCTGTGAGTTGTCAGATGAGTTTGTCCCCAGGCTAATGGAGTTCTTTGGAGTGACAGTCTCCTTCTTGGCTCACCTGCATTTTCCCATGCAGGTGAATTAAATGTGGGGTTTGTTTGGGGATGCTAGTGACTGGTACCTTAAAAGGAGATAGATAGATTTTGGTCCCTTGAAAGAGGTGACTGATTTGACCCGGGCAGGCTGTAGGCGTAGGGAACAGTCATGTTTGGAGTAGTCATGAGACAACTCATAAGGGTTTTTTTTCTGTTTGGTTTTGTCACAGAGCAGGCAAAGAGTAGAAGATAATTACAGAGTCAATGATTTTTTTAAACCTGCTTTAAAATCCAAAAGTGCAGAATATTTCTCCTGTATGGGGAATTCCCTCAAGACACCTTAAAAATGAGTGTATTATCATAAAGTGATCCTGCTTGTGAATCAGATGCGAGTTGCAGATGCCGTTTCAGTGCTGGCTAAAATGCATTGTCCTGCTTCTGTCTCACACTTAGGAGTAAGAGATGCTTACCTTCTTCGTGTCCTAAGCAATATACTTCCTCTGTGCCTCTTCCTTTGCTCACCTTTCCATGACCAGGCAGGTGGCTTGGGCAGCTCTTGCTTGTCCGGGATGGCAGAGGCACCATCAGAAAAAATATTTGCATTATGATAGTGTTAAAAAGCCTTTCATGGCCCTTGTTGTCCTAGTTGCTATGCAAATACAGATTAAGAGAGTGTTCTTCCTCTGAATACTACTCATTGCTATGGTATTTCTGTGAGCTCTGCCTGTTCTGTGCCATGGGGCTGAAGGCTGCCTTGCCAATTGGCAGCAATGCTCTTGTGTGATCCATGTCACTCCCTAGTGTGGAGAACAGGCATCAGAAACACAAGGTTCTTCCTGGAGGCCATTCCAGCTATTAACAGAGGATTCATTGCTGAAATCTGGGCTAGCAAAGCAGGCTAAAGCAGCTCTTGAGCAGGAGTTGAGATACCAGAATGCCCTTATTTTGTGTTCCACTGAAGACCAGAGGAGGTGGTCATGGTTCCTCTGGACATACAGGCCATGTTCTGTGAAGTGGAATTGCAGTTTTTAATTTGTTGGCTGCATTGGCTTGCATAGATATGGGGGTTCATCCACCAAAACAATATTTATGACATCTCAGTTTCTTTTGCTTAGTGTAGTAAGCAAAGGTTAGAGCTCTAGTGGGCTTCAGTTATCCAGAAAGGGTGGGGGTCTGCATCAGTGTTAACTCTGATTGTCAGTGCTCTTCTGACAGCTTGCTTGAGTAGCTCCATTCTTTGAAATAAGTTTTGTGCTTCTATTTCTGTGCTCAACATTTTTTTCCTTCTCTTTTTTTTTTTTATTCTTTAACCCATTTAACCTGCTACTTAGACTCAGGCTTCTGATAGAGCTTCTCTGTTTCTTCTCCATCTTTGGTGGTTTGGGTTGTGTGCTAGTACATACACTTCTGTAGGATGAGATACTCCAGGCCTTTGTGGAATTTGAAGGCTTGAGGAACTATGGTGATGCGCATCCTGGGAGGAAGTCTGCCTAGTTCAGTACTTGCTTCTGCACTTCCTGGAAAGCAGTTGTGTGGTTTTTGTTCTTGGAACCCCTATCTTGAGCCTTTCGTTTCCCAGAGGCTTTCCAGGCACCACTGGTGAATGTGAAAGTCCACTTGTTGCTCCTCAACTTGGTGTCTCTTGGGTTTTCTTTTGGTCTTTTTTGTTAATATTGTAATGGGTTTAATATTGTAGTGGGTATAACATGCAGAGGCCTTACTGGCTTCCACATTTGGGGCTCAGTTTACTTTTGCTATAGCTATTTTTGGCTTGACATGAGAAATGTCAGTGCCACATAGTATGAGATGATGAATTGCTGTGTACTGTACATATCCATGAGGCTGGGATATCATCTGAGTGGTGGCATCTTGCCAAATACATTTCAATTCTGTTACTTCATGCTCTTTTGAAAGGCCTGTTACGTAGCCTGAGACGCTACCACTATGCTGGACTTCTGCTTAAGCTATTTGTGAACTGATGTCATCATCTTGCTTTGAGAGCTATGCTGAAAGTTTAAGCTTCAGAATTCTGTCTGAATATTTCAAACCTTTCACTTTACATTCTTTTAATCCATAACCTGGACATGATCCTTATTTACAGAAGAAAAATGTCTGGCACTTGTGCTAGGCACAGTGGGGAGCACATTGCAGTTCAGATAGTCAGTTTTGGTTTGATATTGCTTCATCATCAGTTTACTTCTACAAATGGGAGAACACTTACAAAAATAAAGTGTAAGAAAGCAAGAATTAAGCAAATACTGTAGCAGAACTTTATGTTCAAGGGTTTCTGCAAGTATAGTTTATTATTACAGCTATTACAGTCCCTATAAAATGACTTTGTGCAAGTGTAGTGTTCTTTGGGGACAGCTTCAATAAGAAGATTTTGACTGTATTTTTTAATGGCAGTTCAGATTTTTGATGGCTGAATCATACACAAGTGAAACCCAAGAGAGGATTAAACATTCTTGACCGTTCCTGGGAGTTAAGTACATTCCTGCTTTTACTGTACTTCTGGTTTTGTTTGTAAAGGAACCACCCCACCATAAACCCTTGTAAACTCTTTCCTGGACCCCTGAAGACAGCAGTCACTACCTCAAGTTGCTCGGTGCAGCCACAGTAGCTGCATTTTTACTGTAAGTGTGTATGTGAGATGGGTGGTGTTCTATCCCAGTAGCACGAATCACTGAGGATATGGTGGCTGTGCTGTGGTTCCTGCTTGCATTTCAAAAACCTCCCAGAGAATTGAAGGACACTCAAGGCTTAATCTTTATGGATCAGTTACCAACTATAGGCTGCCCTGTGAAATTGGAGCAGTTTCTCTGTTGCCATCTCCTTGGGCAAGGCTCTGTGCAGAGCTCAGTGCTGAAGCCCAGCTGCTGAGCGCTTAACAGGTGTTGAAGTACTTAAATGAATGCCAGGAACAAGCACGTTGCCATTGGCTTCTGCTCAATTTGTAGTTTATAAACTTGAAGCTTCTCTATGTAGCCTTTTGGAAAAGGGAAGATTTTAGTTCCCCCAATACGTGTGGTGTGTGTAGGAAGTACAATCAGGCACCCAACTGCAAAGGAAACAAAATTTGTGTCCAGCTGTTTGACCGCTGTTTATGCTATATGTTGAACAAGACCAGTATGTTCCTTTCTCTATGCATTTAATAAGGGTAGTGGTTCCACCCAGGGAAGTGGTGGACTCCCCGTGCTGGCCACATAAACTCAGCTATCAGGGCGTTGGGACATCTAGTCTAGTCATGCTTTGCCTAGAAGAGTTGGACCAGATGATCCTTGAGGTTCTTTCCAACCTGGGATTCTAGGATTCTGTGAAGATAGGGGTGTTGGGATATGGTGATGAGGACTCAAAGGCTATATGGCATGACACATATGCGTAAGCCATAAGGTTTTCCATCACCCAGGTTTTTATTTCAGGCTTTTCTTGATTTTTGAGCTGCTCCCTTTTGCTGCAGCCTGAACAGTGTTCTTCACAGCAGGCCTATACAAGTTTGCAAGATCTTCTTAGAGAAGAAGATTTTTGCTTCTTAAAGCAACAATCACAACGATGCACACAAGGGTGACACATACACATGCCTTTGACTCGAGCAGTGAAGTAAGGGGCAACAGTCGTCATCTGGCTGATCAAGAGTGTTAGAAGAGAACAGCTGGACAGAGGGATACATGGCTGACAGTAGTGGGATACTGGGATTCTGGACTTCTGTCATCTGTTCTGAATGAGAAAGGAGCTTGTTCTCTTAGGCAAAGCTCCTTTTCCAACTTGACATCTTCTGATGTCTCAGACATGATCCTTTGCC